GGATTTTCTACGATTTTCTAGAAAATTCCTGGCGAAAATTACTGTGTAATTATCGAATTTCATTCCTTTCATGCTTTCAGGAGATGGCAGAATGCATGTCGGATGAGCTGCAGTCACGAATGTCCGCATACGTGAATGGAGAGGTGGACGTTGCCGCTCTTGTTGAAGACTCGCAGCAGAAAGCACGTCTGATGGAGGAGTGCGAGCAGCTGAAGAGCCGACTCTCGCAGGTGAGACCCAAGATCATCCAATACGTTGGACAAAACTTCGGGGTCATAACGAACTCCCCATAAGAGATCCTGATTTCTAATTCCTTCCATTCTCTCCGTATGGTAGTACTTGGTAGTTCTACCTCCAACCTGAACTTTTACGGCCGAAAAGTCCGAACATCGCTAAAGAAGGAAAGAGTTTACGATTACTAGGAGTGATAAGATTGCGAATTTCTAGAAATTTTTCCACAAGTTTTCCCTGTTCTCAAAAAAATTCTCGCTTTCTGATCTTGCCAAGGGGTGCAGTGCTTATTTCACCAAATACGAGGGGTACCTCGACAGGAGGCCCGTTCAAGAGGCAGAGTCAGCGGACGAGTCGCCGCGTACTGTAGTGATTTCGCGTCAAGTTAAATAGAATGTCCCATTGTACGTCCTACATCGCACATCACGCGCTGCGACTCGTCCGCTGACTGCCTTCTTGCCGCGCGACGGGCCTCCTGGTAGGTACCCGAATACGAGTTCTAAGTCCCACCTTCTCCCGCCTGGGGTGACCAGCAGCGGATAGAGTGTGTCATAGCATAGAAAAAAGTCCTATTAAGATTTTTATGACGAATATGAGTCGTGGGTGAGAGTTCCACGTGGTAATGATGGCTGAAAAAGCACATATTTGCTCAAATTTTATATGCTCGACCTCTAACATCAGCACTGCGTGTTACATGAGACCAACACAAAGTGCCCTTAATGGTATAGATTGCCATTAACTTAGAATATTATATGTTATCTGTTACCTTTGAAGGCAAATGAACGAGTCCAAGAGGTGGAGGCAAAATGGATCACGGACAAGGCGGCGCTGGATCGGAGGTTGTTGGATCTTGTACGAGAGCGTGAAAGGATGCAGAAAGATTATGAAGTCCAAGAGGGAACGTGGAAAAAGACGATCAGTCAGTTTTTTTTTAGAAATTATTCATTTCTTTTTATCTCCTTATTTGTCCATTCCTTTATGATTGGATTGTATTATTCTGTGTATGTAAATAAAATTTAACTGCGGATTTCTGGAGTTTCTCAAGCTTGAGATTTTGATTTCAGGTGAAAAAGATCGTCAGGCCGATAACACCGTCCAGGACTTGAGCAAAATCAGGCAACTGGAACGCACTCAGAAAACGATAGCAAGTAAAGGACATTTTTGGGTTTTTTAGTATTATCCGTGATGTAATTAATTATGCCGGAAGCAAATTCATGCTTTAGCTGGAATTACAATTCAACCAGCAGCGAAATCTCCCGCCAAACCCACCTCCTCACAGCTCCAGTCCACATCGTGAGAATGACACCACGCGCCGCCACTCCACCTCCTGCGGTCTTCGGCCCCGTAACTGTGGCCCACTCACTCCCGGCCGCTTAGTCTATCCTAGTAACGCACTTTTCGGACAACATGCATTTTTGGATCTCTTATCCTAATATCCTATCATCTATAATATTAGATGGCCCGTCAGCTCAACGTCGGACTCACCACCCCACCCCGCCGCCAGCATCCGAGATTCGTAAAGGGGCCGCGCAGCTCCGCCGCCTTCCAGGTTTCATGAGACATGCCCTGCTGCTGAACTTTGGCAAACCTATCCACAAGTTGTGCGCTATGTCTAATATTATGTTATTAGGCTGATGAAAAATGTTAACTCATCCATCGTTTTCTATTTTTTTGAATTTGGGAGTTCTGACCTGGATCTCGTCTTGGCGTGGCACTCGCTTCTGGGAGGAGTTTGTCTCTTTTAGTGTCACACTTTTGCTCGTTTGGCTCGCTAAGTTTTTGTAAATTACCCCAACCTCTGACAAGTGGCTAGTGGAGAAGTATACGGGGGCGCAATCACTCTTTATCACACTTTTGCCATAAATTGAGTTTATTAGGAATACTCCTCATGAATTGGGACACGAGGAAGCCGAATCAGCAAGATACACTCGGAAGATCTAAACGGACGAAAAAAGTTCGTTATTGTTGATTTTCCCTAAGCTTACAATTTTTATTTATGATATTTTTGTTTATCTTCCTGTTTTCTCTTTCTTTCCCTTTTCTTCATTTTATCATTGTTCATTATTATTTTTTGGTTTTCTGTTTAAAAATGATTCCTCTTCAGAAACTGGATTTCTCACACCTGGAGGAAATGTTCAAATTATCACCTGTAAATAACAATAACCTGATGGAGAATGGTAATCGATTAGAAGTATCCAGTTCGACGTCGGTGATTGGTCAGCACAGCCCTGGATCGACTGGTAGCGGACCTACGAAGAAGAACTCGCTGTTGGATACGAAACGATTGCAGAACGTTGGTGAGTACTGAGAAAGCTAAAAAAGACAAATTGACCTTAAAAGCTTGTCTTTTTATCCTCACCGTAATTTATACCCGAGTTTTGGATTTCTGTTTTCTCTTAAAAAAACTGATGAAGTTTAGCAATTACTCGTCGTAAACTGGCGCTCGAACCTCGTGAAATAATGGCTGCTGTTCACCAGATGGATTTGGACACGTTGTCTGCTGATAAAGTAGACATTTTATCAAGAATCCTACCTAATGATGAGGAAAGAAAACTGTATGCGGAACGAGGAGACGATGAGGGGCTTAGTGATGAGGTATGTGGACAACATATTGGAAATGGGCTTTGAATCGTGTTTTGCTAGCCAGGGCTAGCCTTGCTTGTGGCGCTATGAAGTCACAGTCGTGACTAGGCTGTATCGAATGAAATGTGATGCGTTATTACTTTCGGAGTTTGGAAAAGGGCGGGGCTTAGTTGCGGAAGTCACAGAGTGACCACCATTCATTACGGTAATGAGTTATTTCCAGGACCGATTCATGGCGGCATTGTGCGAGATTGAACGCCTCGAGCATAAACTGAGCGTGATGCGTGTGATGGCCGACTTCGATGAGAGCGTTGCGTTACTGGAACCGGTGGGTCTATTGTTTATTTTGAAATGAAGTCGGATTTATTGAATTTATCAATATAACAATTATGATTGGTTTTGCTTCTAATTAAATTTAATTAATTTGATATTGCGGAGGGTCGTAAGGCTTTCGTATATTTTTCTTCAATTTTGGGATTTCCTGCCGCGGGCTATATCGAAATGCGCTCGTGAAGCCACCATGTTCCATCGTGTACTAGAAGTGATTCTGGCCTTTGGTAATTACATGAATAGCTGTCGCAAAGGAAGTGTAGGTAACGGTTTCCGCGTTTGCAGAGAGGCAGTTTTGGATCTCGGGTAACCTTTGGGCCCCCATGTTTCGATTGCGTATCCGAGTGGTTTACTGCTCTTTTCTTCACCTAGTCTTTCTATCTTCCTATTTGATTTTTGTAGTTGGCAATAATGAAATCGCCGTCGGATCGTTCGTTAACGCTTCTTCACATGGTCGTGGAATCGATAGAGCGATCGTTCCCTGATTTGATGAAGTTCGCCGATAGCAGCTGAAGTTCGTCGACTTGATGAAGTTCGCCGATCAGCTGAAGTTCGTCGACAAGGCGTCTGGTGGTGGGTACCTCATTTCTCTTTGCTCTTTTTTTTTCTATTGGAGAAAGCAGTGGTTGCTGATGGCTACATAAGCTGAACTGTTTTTTGAAGACCTGCTGACAAGTGCCAGAAAGAGCAGCGGATAAGGTCAGTGTGTGACCGAAGCGATTAGAAAGACATCTACAGGCCGGAATGGCACTGGAACCAGAGCGTCCCCACTCGCAGCTATAGGCGCATTCCACGATACGAAATGGGTTTACTGGGGTTCAAATATGGAACTGTAGGTGCTGTTTGGCTCGATAGCAGTGAACTAAACCGGAAAACTGACAAAACCCTAATTAAGGTTTCCTTTTTTATAAATACCTGATCTATGGCATAGTAAGGTCTACGGTATAGAGGGGAAGTGATTAGAAAGGACCTAGACGACTAGTTGGCGATAAAGGACAACCACGAGAGAGGCGTTGATACCACCATAGCACTAATTTGAAAGTGCGCATGCTGATCAGACTGATATGGCAGGCGATATTAGTTGCACACCGTGGAACCGTGAAAATGAGACGTTCTGTGTGTTTGCGGACCGGTCTACCGCAGAAGCGTAAGGGTTGTCCGCTTGGACGATCGTGAACGGCTCTGTCTTCCCCAAGCGCTTACTATGTCGAATTGTAGTAAGAGTTGCGTGTCTAACCCTGAATCAGGTGGCAAATTAGCCAGTTGAATGCAGAGCAGATGGCCGCTTGGAGTTTGGGCTTTGAATATTTTTCCATGGTGTGAGCCGTAGAAATATGTTAGCCACGGGACAATTTTGGGTGCTGGGTAAACTACTTCCATCGCCAGGACCGGTATTATTACTAGTTTTCCGCCCGTCCAATCTAGCCAGTTGTCGCGCGCCTCTTTCCTTATCTGTTCAACTTTTGGGGATCTATTCAATTTGGTCGCTATGTTTTTGCTGGCTCTTGCATATTATATCCAGTCAAATGGGAGCAGCTGCATAGAATATGAATTGAGCTGTCTTTGGGGATGCCTCAGAAGTGCAGAAACGTTAGGAATTCCAAATAATCGGAGTAAATGAGAGAAGGTGATTTGTGTTACTAAGCTGTGCCTAATTTTAGTTCAATGGGATAGTGTCCTGTCCGATATGAAGGAGTTGGAAGCAGGTTTCGAAACGGCCAGAAAGGAGCGAGCGCTCAAACGCGACAACTGCCCTACGGCTCTTGCTGAGTTCCTGAAAACGCACGATGAACGTATGAAACAGCTTCAGGAACACGCTAAACTTGCTGTGTAAGTTGCTGCGATAGCAATATTCTTTTTCTTTTTCTTAAGTTGAACTTATTGTTGATTCCAACAATTTTGTC